AAACTCCGAAGGACACAGCAAGCCTGATCGCCGAAATACTATCTTCATCCATGGTGTGCTAGAGGTTCCTTCACACGATAGTCAAGAGGCCGGAAATTGCGATTTAAAACAATGGCGATTCATCCGCGAAACCCTTTCCTTGGATAATGTTGTGATGCGATCGCACAAAAGAGTACTTCTGTCGCCAAATTATGGAGGATGCGGACCGAGAATCCTGAAATTTCTTGTTCAATCCGAGCAAGCAGCGACTGATGTGTTACCTAGTTGGTGTAAAAATCGAAAAAGCTTTCCAATGGAACTTCGGTTAAGGACTGCAGATGCTTCACAACGCCCATTTACGAAATCATCTGAAAAAGCAGACGTAGCGGCGATGATTGCTCCTTTACCAGGTGCTGACGTAAATCTAGATGAGGGTTTGGACGCGCCTTGGCCAGAGCAAGGTACGGAAGTAATGTCAGTATCTCATCAAAAATCGCATAACGTTCAACCTCGTCGGTCGGCACTCCCACACACCTGACTTCCTTGACTCCCTGTTGTCTATTAGGGACCGATAAACTAGCCCCCTTGTACACGAATGCTCAGGGCCTCTTCAATAAGCTGACCCGAACTGTAAGGTCGCCAAGTTTCCCAGTAATATGATATCATCGGCATCACGGAGACGTGGTTACACACTAAAATGACGGACGATGAAATTTCGCTACCTGGCATGTCACTCATTTGAAACGACTGACTGACAAAAAGAGAAGGCATAATTCTGTATTACCGAAGCGACTTACAATGCGAGGTCATGGAGTATTCTGATTCGCTTTGGTGCCGCCTGTAGTTAAGAGGCAGACACTTGCCTCATTTCCTTGGTGTTCCGTCCCCCCAACTCTACATCTGAAACGGACTGCCAACTTGCGACTGCCCTACGGCGAACACTAAAAGGAAGATACACTCACATCTCGATCATGAATAATTTCAATTTGCATTGTTTGAAACCCCTGTCACGAACAGAGAACAATTTAAAGTCGATCTGCAGGAGCTTATAACCAGTGTTCCGCTAGATAATCATGTCACTTCGCCCACTCGGTTCAGAACCGATAATAGGCCATCTGTGCTTGAGCTTGTGCTTACCAACGAAGAACATATGATTGATGCATTGGTCGTAGACTGCCCGTTAGGTCGCAGTGGTCATGTAGTTATTCGTTTCAACTTCATTTGCTGTGCGGAATACCGAAATGTGGACTATGAGACGACGCGGACCATCACATGCTACGATCGATTAGCCCACCTCGTCAGTGTCACAACCTGGTCGTTCCTCGCCGATGACCGCCGGATATCGCCTGGCTCGAGTTCGTAAACAAATTCAATCGGCTGCTTCCGAGACAAAAGTTTGCAAAGGTTCTGAAACAGTTACTTACGTAAGGAGCGATACTCGAATATTGCTGGTAGTACGCAACGCAGCGTGGCGAGAGTATAGATTTTTTCCAAATATAGAAAGCTGGGATAACTACGTATCCCAACGAAACCAATGCACTCAACTGCTCAGAGAGGACAAAGCCGCGCATCAGCAGAACATGGCAAAAACCTTCAGCACCCATCACAAACTGTTGTATAAGCACGTTAATAGTCTACGGAAGGTGAGGTAAGGAGTTCCGCCATTCACGACGGCTGATGGCCCAACACGAACGGCTACGGAAGCAGCAAACGCGCTGCGGATGCAATATGCCCCCACCTTCCTGAGGGTATTACTATCAGGAGATCCTCCAGTTTTTATCGCCCCGCCGCCAGGACTCACACACACCTGCTTTACTACCGAAGCTGTCTTGCAAGAACTGACCACTCTCCACAAGCATAAATCCCCGGGTGTCGATACTATTCTCCCAGGAGCACTGGGAGCAGCAGTAAGTCAACTGGCAGAGCCACTGGCTCACTTCTTCCTGCGCTGCTTAGACCAGAACCGAGTTCCTGCCATGTGATAGCTTGGAATACCAACACCCATTCACAAAAGTGAAAGTAGAAACGAGACTTTAAACTACCGCCCAATTTCCCTTCTCCCTATACTATTCAAGGTGATGGAATCCGTCATAGCTGATGCGCTAGTGGGCTATTTGTAAAACTCTAACATTATTTCTGAGCAGCACGGTTTCCGTCGAAATTGATCGTGCACAACGAATTTGCTAATAGCACGGAGTAGCTGGACCCAGTCAGCTGACGCCGGAGAGGATGTTGATGTGATCTACCTGGATTTCTCGAAAGCATTCAACTATCTAGATCAACGGATACTCCTATAGCGTTACGGGATCGGTGACCCGATTCTAAACTGGTTCTCCAACTATTTCCTTCGGCGACAATTGGTGGTAAGAGTTCGGAATTCCTCTGATCCCATACAAGTGGAATTTGGTGTGCCTCAAGGCTCGTTGCTAGGTCCCCGATTGTTTTTGGTATGTATCACTGGCCTCACACTAATAGTTACATTTAACTTCCTGCTGTTTGTCGATGATGTCAAGGTTTGGTTCAAGGGAATACTGACCAGCAACTGCTTTAGAGTGATCTAGACACTGCATATCAGTGATTTATCCAAAATTCACTGCAATTCAATGCGAGTAAATGCAAGGTGCTCTCCATACAACAACAGAGCAACCACTGTTATAGGCTCAGAACGCATGTGCTGCAGCGAACTGCCACCGAGCGTGATTTGCGCGTACTGGTACAGGATGATCTGGGTTGTTCCAGGCAATCCGCGAAAGCGTCAAAAACTGGTAACTAACATGTGGGCCTGTTGCGACGAGCGTTCGGACAAATAGATCGCTCGATTTTGCGGCAGATGCTTAGTGCGTATGTTCGTCTTCATGTCGAATATACAATTCAAGCCTGGCACCTATAGCTAAAACACGACCTTAGTGCGTTGGAGCAACCCCAACGTCCAGCATCAAAGCACATTATTTGAATGCGCCAACTTCCATACGAATGCAGGCTGGAACGATTGGGGGTATTCAGCAGACGTTACTGCCGCTTACGAGGTGACTTGATAATGGTGTACTTTATTCTGCACGTTCCATGCCATGTGTGCCGTTCTTTACTGCAACTCAGCAGTAATACCAAATTGAGTGGATACCCACTATAACTGGCAGAACAGAGCAGCCTCATGGATTACCACAAGAATTTCTTTTCCGTCTGCGCGTGTCACCCGTGGAAGGCTCTTCCAGAATTGGTCATTACTGCACCATCACTACCTACACTTAAAAGACCTTTGGATGACTCACGTACGCACCTACAGGTTGTTACCTAGTACAACATTTCCATCCTACTCTTGGAATACACTTAGGATTTATTTGCTGTTACATGTTTGGGCTGTGAAACTACACGGATTGCAGGACTACATCTGAGCAGTCCATATTTTAAACGTAAATAACACTGCATTTTTATTTTTTTATAACCCTCCAAAACCACCCAAAGAATCTTGTAAAACATTGCTTCTTAACTCGTATAAATTCATTGTTACGGTTCGTCGCGCGCTCTCGCCTCCGATATTGGTATTGGGATCAGAATTGAATCCTGCGTCGATGATCAATACTCAGACCCTAGTCTGTGACCGACTGTGTAGAGTGATCGTTCTCCTGGAACCACAATTCCACTAACCCACATATTGATTTTCCATAGCACTCAACATGGTTACCTATTTGCAAGGTCTCCGGCATCTAACGTGTTTGTAAACCGATTTTTGGACAAGGCGTTTACTTGACGATAAAGACGACTTTCAGGACCGTCTGCTGTCGTGACTAACATTTTTACCACAATCGGCACATCGTCTGATACTTGAAGGATAACATACTGTCGTAGTTGAAGGTTTTAACAGTTTTGGGGGCAGATAACCGTACCTTACTAAACCTAAACGATTAATACTACTAAGATAGTTTTTTTAGAATTTGCAATTTTTAACCAAAACTTTGATTTGCAATTTAAAAATACGAACTTCACTTGTGGGGTTCATATATTATCTGCTTTTAGATCTAACGCCCTGACGAGGCGAGTTGGGTAACTCACAGCCATAGCTATTGTATTCGTATGGTAGGTAGCAAATCACATAGATGCTCATTTAGCACTTATGCACGATAATACAATCACCCATGCGGTCATCTTCTACTTTGGGATCCGACGGGATCGCGTGGATTCAGGGTACGGGGGTGGATGATCGTATAGAAATCGATAACTGCGGAATCGTTCTCCGACTGCACAGTACTTGGCCTGTGGGACAAATGACCAGCGACTCCCTACCCGACCATACAATCACCTGCAGTTCTCCGATTGCTCGTGAAGTGTATTGTCGAATGAAATGATCAGCTGAAGCCTCTCATTGCTTTATAACATCACCGTGCACTGCCCGTAGATGCTTGTTTATCCTAAATTCGGAGCAGAGAAGATTTCTTTGCATCCGTACGGGTCGACCATCTGAAGCCTTGTTCTGGTAACAAAAACGTTTTTTTCTGGGTTGCCATCCGTTCGACACAGATTGCACACTGTTGTTCGAACAATGACCATAAAAACATACCATAGCATCCATTTCTCCAGTGATACCGAATTTTTCTCAGTGTACTCACTGCGTTTGCATAAGTTGTGCTTTTAACAACTGATTCAATGTCTCAAGATTCGACCATATGTTTCATTACTTCGTAGATCTTCGGTTGAAGCTCATGGGCAGTTGGTAGTACTACATCGCTCTTCATCCGTGTTTAATTCGAACACAATGCAGTCTAGGCAAGGCCCTCTGTTCGAACTGACAAACTTTGCGTTAACGCTTGTTTGGCTTCTGTGTTTTTGGACTGCTTACTTCTATTCACGAGACAATCCGCTGGCTCTAATCGGTTTTGCACTTGGCGGCAGAAGTCGCCATCTCTTTAGATTGACATCGCCTAGAAAACGTTGCTTACTCTCGGCTCACGAAAACGATGCGTCTACCCGGTAGTAAACGTGATTTTTTTGATAAACTAGATCATCTCTCTCACTCTCGCATACAGGATATGGACGCCACCTGCGATCCAGCTGACAGCCGTTGTCTTCATGTAACAATCAATGCACCCGTTTATCCCACCAAATCGTCTGGTCCCAGTCTCAGCTCATCTAAAGCAACTCAAGGTATCAAGGGCTCGGGTGCCAAGCCACTGTTGGCGGCTCGATTTTTGTTCGAAGACCACATCCGATGCATGACCGCGAGACAAATGCTACTCAGGGGCCGTGAATGTGCGAGACAAGCCAAATTGCGCAAAATAGCTGTGTGAGTACTATGTAGCAAATGATCTCACCGCACACTTTCTATCTACTGTCATCTTATTCCCTCAGATACTCTGTCCCCGAAACCACCAGTGTTTTGAAAAAAGTGATATTCCAGCTTAATACCCCGGTCAGCATCGAGATTCCGTTAAATTACCAGTTTAGCCCTTTGAGACTGTTATACTGCTACCAAATCTTGTTTTCCTTTCTGGCTATAGCTTTCGCTGGTAATACGGGAACGCACCTTCCTCTGTACGCTTCTCTAGAATCACCAAATTAGATGTCAATCGGGTTTCCCTGATTGTTACCCTGTCGAACTGTGCGGTATAACGGTTGTTAATTGTCGTACAGCTCGCCATGTGTTTACGTTTACTTGTATCGCTCCATCGCGTGGAGCTCCTTTATTGTGCCTGTCCCTGCCTTTATTGCATTTATAAACATTTCTTGTGTCGACCTTACCCGGACAACGAGGGGCTAAGCGCTAGGATGCCACGTTATCCAGTCAGTGGGCGTTAGTACTCCACTTGAATGCAGTTGGTATTTAGTACATATGTTATAGCTTTCCTGCCGGTTCTAACTTTGCACCCATTAGTTGTTCGTATCTTTTGCACTACTCAACCTCAACCTTCTTGGTAGTCGCAGGATATGAGTTATTGCTATTGGATTTAATGCGCTGTGTACACTGAACGAATTTCCATCACCAGTTAACGTTTGGACTCTTCGGCTTGCGTGGTGGTTGCACGTGAATGCACTAACGCCCTAGATGACACCAGTGGCAATGCTAATTAATTAATTATTGGCGACGATACGAGTCAACTGGTCACCAGGTCACGAAATTAGTTGTACCTGAAACTGAGATTGAAGCCTCTGCTTTTCGACACTTGTTGGATTACGGGTGCAACCTGGTAATATTACTAATTTGTGGTGTTTGACAGCTATTTGACGACTCCTATCACTTTATTGTCCTAATAACTCGCAATTGTTTCAGCCGACCCATTGTGTCACCAGTTGAATTGAATAAGCTACAGATATTTTCTGCGAAAATGCTTGCTTTCATAAAGATTCCTTTTCTATCTTTCTCTGTCCAGCGACCGTTCGAACTTCACTGCTCTAGCGTTACCATTTCCCGCTGGCATCATCAACAACAGCAATACGGACGCTTTGCTACCTTCGACGCATAATGCCCCTTTTTAATTTAGAATAAGATTGGAAATGGAAAAATCGACGTATTATCTAAATGCCCTAAGTAAACATTCACGACTCCGAAACATTTGTCAACAGCGCTAGGTCGTGACAGGTGGCGGCGGCGGCAGGGCATCAGTGGGACGGTTTTCTTGCAACGCTCACTCTCACGGGGATTACTTTTTACCACATGCACTTCGGACAGGAAGTCCGGATTCATCCCAGGGTATTGCTTCCAGTCTTGTTGTTGAGCGCGACACAAGTACTTCTGGTTATCAGCTCGGTACAACCGGAGATGCGAAGAACACACGAGTTGTTTCTGGAACCCGAATCGAGTGATTAAAAGTTTATGAAAGAAGCAGTTTTCGTTACTTGTTTCGAATACACGACATCCGTCTATCCCAATAGATTGCAGTTTGTCAATGGGTCGACTGTGTTAACCGATCTGATATATAGAGTGCAAGCACTGATGGAACTAATGTGAAATGAAATACTTTGGCCGGAAAATTATTTATATATAACACTAACTTTGGTCACTAGACTGGTGGTCGTCTGTGGTAAAAAAAATGCCTTAAAGGAACGTAAATAAAGATCGAATCACAATAAAAATCATTTACGTTAGGATAACACTCTCCAACAGTTCATTCCAACCCTAGCACAAATGTAATTAATCATACTGTATTGTGTGTATGCCTTTGTTTCCTATAACGACATACATTATTCGCACTCATTTTTATCTTTCAGTCTTATAGACTTTTCAGCGCAGTTCCTACACGAGAACTTCACTTTCCCCGGTTCTACCGCTGCCGAATCCAGCGCATCATGCGTGTTGGATAGCAATGAACCAAACAAATCCTACCCCAATCAGTCAATGTCCCGCATTTTGGCCACATCTGGCTCCGGCAGAACGGCTAGCACCCGCAATCCCGGTAAGCAGAATAACGTTCTGTCAGCACTTCATCCGTTAATTCCACGAATATATTCTCTTAGTCTATTCTTGCCAACTGAGCTTGTTTTGGGCTGTGGGCAAAAGGCCTAAGTTGGCCATCTGTTACAGTAATATTTAAGCGAGTGTCCCGTAGCATGTGTTATTATACTTTTGTATGAACCACCGTTTCAAGTCGTATTGGAAAAGGGTTTGTACGTTGTCTGTTAGTTGGGATGCAACAATTCTGAACAGTCTAGATCAGTAGTTATCAATCTTTTCGAAGTTGTTACCCACAAAGCGTGATCACTATAAATAATTACCCTTTCCAAAACGTTTTCAGTTTTTATAAGCTATTGCATTTATTGCTTTAATTGACAGGAAATGAATACCACTATTGCTTATATTCGATATTCGACAAAGAAAACACCTATTTTTGAGAAACATTTTACTAAACCAAGTGGTAGTGTACGTAAATGTGACGGTTGACATTGCTTTGTTTCAACGATTTCTGGTATCTTGGGTACCGTTTCGTCAATTGCACATTGTAAATCGTGTTTCAAGATAATTCGGTTCCTTGCTTTGCTGCGTCATCCCTGACCAAACAGAAACGGATAACAGAGGCTTCTCATCTGTTTCAACCACTTCTTTCATGTCCTTCCTTGATGTCAGCTTTCAACCACCACTTTGCACCAATACGTCCTGAATACCAATCACCTGTTTTGTCGCTCCTTTACCTGATCGGCTGACCTATGCTCCCACCACAGTGTTCAATCAAATTGCTAATTCGATTTGGCGAACGACTGCCTGACTCAAAAGAACAACAATCGAGGTGATAGCCGATAGAGGCGCCTTCTAGCTGCTCTGCTTTGCAGGCTTGTATTTGTATATTAGGTAATAAGATTTATTACCGAAAATTGGCTAATTCACTGACCACTCACCAATGATTAGTCACTGATGGCTAATCGATAGTGATTTGCTAGTTAGTTAAATGCTTTGATACATGGGATTTTATCATTAACTTGGTTCGGCGACAGATTGATGACTCAATCCTCGTACTTATATTTACCCCTCCCACCGCAAAATTCCATTTTACTCTTTTGGGGGTAATTACCTCCAGGTTGAGAACCACTGGTCTAGACCCTTGCCGAAGCGATGGCCACTTACATCGGCTCATGTTACGGTCTACTTCCTTTTATGAACTGTAGTATTTAGTAAGAACATTGTGGTGCTTTGCACACTACATCGTTTATCTGACACGTCTCTATTTGCCGCCAGGTTAGCTTATAGGGGAACATGTTACAGCTGTTTTGCATCTGTAAAATACATTGATGGATTCTTTTTGCTCATGTTTGGAGTTCGTTACAACAGCTGCCCTCTCGACCATGACACCAACACGGTCACCTGAACAACTGCTCTGTAGACAGTTCCAATGTACGGCAATTAACCACAATCTCAATTTGCCCTCTAGTTCTTTAGTACCACTTGATACGAAATAGCTATAAGCAGAAAATTCGGTGTAAGTTGTAGTCATGACCCTGCTGCCACACCGTTAATCAGCAGTAAGTGGGTATTTTATTTTGTGTATCTATCGAAATGGAGTGTCTTTACGCAGCGTTTGGCTGTAAACTACACAGGGTCTTTCATGGTAAGCCACTCTGCTAAGGAAAATCAGTGATCTCCTTGGTGGTACTACCATCACAACGCTTGTATTCGGTGTACAAGTAAATGCTTCCTTATCTTCGTTTTGATCCTGTAGACCTTGTTAATAAATTGTTCCCTTTTCAAGGCGCCTTTCTAATGGAACGCCAATCTCATCGGGCCAAACTTTACCAGCGTTTACAGGCAGGTGAAGATGTCGATACCCGGCCGCCCTTAAATGCCTCTCGCGTGGCGAGTCACTCCTATTCCAATCAAGAACTCCGTATTCAAGTACCGACATCTAACTATCAGCAGCCGCAGAACCGTTTGATTGACTTTGTACCCCGTACTCCGATCAGTTTGGTTCAACAGCGAGTTCCCCCTCAGCAGCTGAAATTGCCTTCATTGCAGTATCTGAGTGGAGATTCCTCTGAACGCAGCCTTTCGGATGCAGTTCCATCGCTCGCCCCGCCCGCCACCGCTAGTGAGATCACCAAAAATAACAACGATCAAAAGAGTAACTGATAGCAACCCGTCTACATTGAGTGTACATAGACCCCATTTCACTCGCTATGACGTCCCCTGTGGGCCACCTTTGAGTCTTTCAGCTTTGTGACGCTTGAGTTTTCGTCTGCACATGTCGCCTGCTGTTTATTAAATCCCATCGGAACATCCATAACGATGTTCCCGGGATCTCATTATCAAACGTATTTATTTTTGAAGCTTTTTACTCCCTATGGCGCCTTCCATCTCCATTGTGAATAACTGGCGAATCGCTGCGATTTTCTTCGATGACCTAAGTCTTTCGCATGCTTGCCTCCTACTCTGCCCGTTTGCTTTTGGTACATGCAGTATCATATGTTTTGACCAACTGAGGTAGCTCTCTAATGCCTTGATCAATTTTTACTGAGCCGTGGATAGCAGTAAATACGTCTCCACATGGTTTGTACACTATTGTTTTACGGGTCGTGAAGTTGTTTTCAGTAGGTGTTATAGTCAAGTCAAGCTAAGTTTTATGTACCCAGAGGGGCGCATTATCAACTGCGGATTAAGTAAAATGACATTTCCACCAATGCAAAATTTTATAAGTGGATACAGAAAAGGGGACATTAGTTTCACTCGAGGTAAAGGGCTTGTGTTCTTGAACACTGATCGGATATTGATAAACAGAATCCCCGTGTTATTTTCAAGCCGACAGAGCATAGTTTTGTGAGGTCAGTTCTTAATTATTTTCAAATCACCAAAAGTTCGTGAGCAAAACCAACAGTGCGCGGTATCTGGGCTTTGCATTCATAATACCAGTCTTGTTGACCTTGGAAGTACTTTGGACAAAAAGCTGTCAAAGTAATCCTTTTAAACTTATCATATCCGCAGTAGATAAGTCAAAATGATGTTCAATATGAAGAGAACAGTCGATTTAAAGGCCCCGCTACCAGGATCGAGTTGAACAATGTCGAAAGGCGTTCTGGCGGCTATGCGGCCCTTACCTGGTCCTCTGTCTTTAGTTTAAAGGATCAATTTTGATCACGCTCAAGGGGGATAAATCAAGTATCTCCGCTTTCATCCTACTGCAGCCAGACGAAACAGACGGCACATTTGAGAAAGCGACAGTCTGTAAGAGCTTCCGTCAGTTGTGATGTGCTAGTATGGACTAAGTAAAATTTCTGAAATCACTTTCTATGAGATGTTCACATGTGTTTGAAGCAGTCGGTAGTTGTTGCCACCACTTTCGTCACGCAAAACAGTATTTTTGTGAAAAGGCGACTGCCCCGTGGAAACATGTGGTTTCCTTAAAGGTGTAAGGAATGTTGTCCAACATTGTCTGTGGATAATGCTGCATGACAGTCATTAAAAGGAACTGTTGTTCTCATATCCATTATACTGTTACAATTTTGAACCGGATTTGTGCGACGAAACCCATGTTTGTTCCGTTCATCTGCGTTGACAGTCAGTCGGTCGACCCCGTGGACGTCGACTACTCTAACTGTCGAGGCCACATCGCTGTCTTGAGTGGTGCGTAAATATGCCTTCGGATTTCGCCTTAGTCAAACGCACTCATTGTAGTCAACCGGTTTTTAGAATCTTGATTTATAATTTGAAAAGGGATTGCACCTTCATGTGGTTGTGTGACGGTTCACGCACAGACACATTGAGCTATACTGTGCTGTGCTACCGGGACTTTCAGTGTTGCTCCTACACGAGTAATCAATAGATAGTTATCAGACAACAGGTCGTACGTACATTGGACGTCATGACTGTTTGTGTGATGAATGTTTGAAATCAGGGTTACTCATGAGTAGGGATCTGGTGAGATTTATTTTGTCCATCGCAATTAGATTACAAGACAAATATATAGACTGCCAATCCGGAAAAGTGTTAGGCGGTCGTTTGTCGCGAATTCCATCGGCCGCCTTCAGGGAACCAAACCCATGACCGCTAGTGGTTTGCTCTACTAGGCAGCAGCTTATGCTTCTGAGCCATTGGGGACGATGGCTGACCGTCATGAATTGAAATCTAACTGCGACATAGTTTGACCCATCCTTCACTTCTATGCAGGTTGCTGCTCGTGCAGAAGACAGTGGTTGGCCGTCTGGATCAGGATTTTCACACCAGTAGCTGTGATTCGATACAGCATCTAGATGACTGTTGGGGTTCCTTTGGGACTCTCACGCAGTGGTCGAACTAACTGCGTGTTCTCCAGCTAATCGTTACACGCATCTGGAGACACCGATGCAGCAACCAAAGGCCAAGATGGGTTAGATATGGTTCTCGACTCTAGGGCTGAGTCATCGCTAGCTGACTCGATTCTCGTCAACAACATCATCGTCAATACACGTTAGCTGAGGGTGAGCACCACACTTCAGCTAATGTGCGGCAATACTAAAAAGTTACCATACAAAAAATTCCAAAGCAAGTAATATGGCGCAAATATTATATTGTGCATTTCGTATGAGACCGAAATCGGAGGGGAATATAAAGGGGAGGGGGATGGACAAAAGAACTCACAACACAAACGCCATTGGGGCCGGCTCCTAGCCACATCAAAAAGTGCGTCCAACTAAACGTGTTCATCGTCTTTGCGACCCTAGCTACGCAGTCGGGATGCACCAACCGACGCCAAATTCATTTCTCTCGACCAAGTCATCGCTTGGCCTCCTCTTCTAATTGCATGTCGCGGGCTGGCATGGTATCAGCAGTGCCGACGCTTTGCAGCCGCGCGCTCACCACCGGTCGCACGCGTGCTAAGGATAATGCGATGGTTGCTCTACCTCTACGCAGGCTCGAACCTGCGCCGTCATATTACGTGACAAGCACGCTACCTTTAGGCTACGGGCCGGCAACACGTGACCCAGCTATCGGAGTCTGATGCGTGATATAATGGTGCTGAGCAGTTCACTCGCTCTTCCTGCACCAAATACGCGACGCCGAACACGCTCACTGCTCACGCGGTGCTTCCACCAGACATGAGCTAAGCTACGAAGGCAGCTATGGTCGAACACAGCTAACCTCTATGTCTGTCGACCTGATGGGCCAAGTTTCACAACTATATAAGAGGGTCGAACGGACGGCTGCATTATAAACTCTATCGTTCAGGGCGAGAGTGATGTTGAGTCTGCGCCACAGGTGGCGGAGATTAACGAAAACAACTCGAGTTTTTGCTTTACAGTCGTAACCACATTTCGATCCCACGGTCGCTACTATAGTTGCTCAAGTACTTAATTCCTGGTCGACTTTTAGCCGATCACCACCAAGAGTCAGCGCAGAGGTGGGCCTCTAGCAGTGTTGGAGAAGGATTTTGCTTTTCCATGGAGCAAAGCGTGGCCCAAAACGATTGATAGCCATCCTAATTGACTCATTGCTGCTTGGCACGTTTTGGAGCTGTCACTGATGAGGGCGATGTTGTCCGCATACTCCAAGTCACGAAATCGTTCATCAGGAAGTAGCTCCACACCTTGTAGGTCGTGTCCAGCGAACGCTTTTCCCATGACTTCGTCAATGGCTAAGTTATAGAGGAAAGGTAACGGCGAGCACCCCTGTGTTACACCGCTGGAGATATCGAAGGGTGGCGACAGTTTGTCACGAACCCTAACTATGCGGGTACAGCACGTATTTACGTATTTATCGGGCACACCTTTCCTTAGCAGACAGTCCAAAAGGGCGCATTGATCAGCCGAATCGAAGGCGCCCTTGACGTCGAAAAACATGACTATGTTGGGTCACCAATAAACTTGGCGGTGCTCCAACAATTGACACAGAATGAAGATGTCGATGCAGCCCTGACCTCGACGAAACTCGGCTTGCTCCTCAGGAATCTGGCTTTCACGAGTGCCAGTCAGTCTGTGGAGAACGACAAGCGCAAGTAGTTTGGAGGCAGTTGGGATTAGACTGATCCCTCCGAACGGGAGCCTCCCTAGAAGATTGGGATTATGACGGAGCGGTTCCAGTCTGTCGTGACAGTTTCACTAGTAACTCCTCAGCGGCCATCTATAGACGGTCTGCTTGACAATGTCGGTCGAGATCAGCGCAGGGAGCAGCGCTAGACCTCGCATATCCGTTACTGCTGCTTTGTCCCTATCGATTGCAGTCCTTAGGCTACCAAAGCTGGTTTCTGTGACAAGCTCAGCGACACTCCGCGGTGTCATCATTTCAGATATCGTCTTAGTCGCAAGATTGTACCCTGCATACTACTGCACTGACGACGCCAACTCGCAAGGTGGTGAAACGTTTGTAACAAACCTGCCAGGCTCGGCGAACAAATGAACAACTAGTTGCACTGATGTGAATGCGCAAGCACGCCATTTGAACCCATTGACAATGGCGAGCGTTGATAGCAACTGGGTGACCAGCTTCTTAACAATGCTGCTTTTCTGCACAATGTACGACGGTGTCATCCATTAGGTGGCCAGTGATAGACTCAAGTAGAACACAGGTTTCAGTGGTGTGATTCCATCTTGCACTGCCCTTCGTACTGGAGCATATGCGTCGGTTTTGACCATGCTGTGGTACACTACCAATATTTCATGAACTTTTCCGGGAGGCGTATCAACTGGAAACTGAGAAGCCATCCCATCTCTTGATAGTGCAAAAGTACCCAAATGTTCTGCTTATTAAACCCCTACCTAACTACTCAAGAGACATCGAGCTTCAGTGGAACATTGACTCAGAAGCTATGAGCGACGCCGGAGACGGTTCTTGCTGTACTATGATGCGTCATATTACCAAACATAGGTAGCGGAGGGTCTGTGAACCTATTAGAATCCAGAAGAAAAGTCCTTGCTAGCACCGATCACATTATACCGAGAATGGCGATAACTCAAACGGAGCGCGAGGGATGACAAGGAGCCCAATGGACCAAAGCGCTCAGGAAATGCAGGAGGCGTGAGTGGCAGATAATCACTGCAGACTTTTCCAGTTGATTCGCACCACCGGAACCTATGATTTGGAAACAACCACGAATAAAACCTGCGTGCATATTCACAACAATCAACGTCGTCTGGATGGTTGAGCGGAACACCGAGAGCAGTCCAGTTGGCCGGCCGCTCCTTAGCCTCTTAATGTCCAGGCGGTGTAGGTCAAACCATGGCCGGTGTTAATATGTTCCATCGGAGGTCACGGTACAAGATGCGATCCCCCCTCGGTAGCTTTTGTGCTGCCTGTCCGAATTTTCTTGCACTCGCCCTATATAAAGATGGTGGTAAGGTCCACTGCAAGGAACTGACCCACGCGTTCGGGTGGGTAAAAATTATCATCCTAGCCAGCTGGGGTAAATCAACCATTGAAGAAGTATGTAAGACGGGCAATCGTACCGCTCACTCTTAGTTAGTGTGTAGAATGATGATGTTTCAACCAGGTTACTCGCCTCAATTCTCGCACACATGATTAAGCAAACGGCAGTTTAGCAGGTCCGGTGAATCGCCAAACGGTCTATTTGACGCAACTGAGAATGTCAATCTTTTCTCAGCTATTGCCTCACTAACAAGGCCTTCTTGGATGCGTGTTCCGGATGAGCTGAACAGTGCTCGGCTGTTCCCAATAACACCGTCTCACGGACTCCTGCCACCCACCGATGTTCCCGGTCGATTCGGACACTTTGTTAGGGCGTTGCGGACACGCTGAAACTCATTACCCAACGGAACTTGTTTGCGTGCTTCGAGGAAGCTGATTGATGCCCCAGAGATCCATTCACAGTTAGGACATCTCAAAAGCATTCTTCACGGCACACTTGAGATTATTCCAATCAGAGTTCGGCTCATCAACCCCATTCATTAGACAATCGGTGGGCCAGTTCGTCATTATGTTGTGGAGCTGCATATTGAGTTCAAGTTATAAGTGAGAAACTTATAGGCTAGGCGTCCCTTTGAAGCGGGAAGACTGCGCGCCAGCTGTACGTGCATTAAAGCATGGTCGGAATCCAGGCACGTGCTTTAAATTGACTGATAGTTTAGGACTGTCGTGCGTGATGTCTCCGGATAATCGAGGAATTCGGTGGGCGCTAGGCGACGATGTGAACGTATGTACTGGAAAGCGGTGTTGTTAATATAAAGATACTGGCCACACATAGTCACGGAAATCAATCGCCATTGCCTGTTCGGTGTGCGTCGATCTCGAAGTATTCATATCAACAGCAACGATCACGATATTAGTATTTTTCGCCATGAGGAGGGACAATAGTTCACGATGAAAGCCAATTTTGTTACCCGAACTGCAGTGAGCAGGGGCGTAAACGGAGATCATGAAAAGCGCCGTCTTCAGAAGGCGTCTATTAACCCCAATGGAGTTCGAAGACAAATCGCACACATGCGGCTGTTCACTTTTATCCAGCTGAGTAGTTTGGTTTCAGCATGTTTGCTAAAGCGATACCGAAAACGTAGATACCTTGACATATTGACTCAGTATCGCTAGTGGCGCAAAGAATGTAGCCATTTTCGACAGTTTCAGAACCAGGTAATAATAGATTCCGCATAACGTTAGCTTGTATGAGTGTTCGGAAACAGCATACGTCAATAACAAGAAAGTAAAGAGTGAGAGTTAGTGCTGTCTGTTGGTCGATCTGGCCCAGAGTGCGGACGTTAGAGGAACAAATGTGAAATGACACCCTTACTTTGGGGACGAGTTAAATGTATCGGTCGTAGCAGCTTCGAGATCATCGACAGTCTTTTGCTTAATAGACGGAGAAGTTGGTTGGGTGGAGAGAAAAATACGAAGAAGTAGGAGTATTGTCGATGTGGTAGAGAAGGCAGGTGATACTCTCCTGTGGGAGTTGAGGGGTTTGCACCCAGTTGTGTAGGGGCTGCCCAGCTTGAAGCGGGCGCTAACAAACCAATGAGCACCGGGCAGTGTACTCCACCGTGGCGCTCGTGCTATAAGCCAATCGAGCTGTGAGCTCATAACCCAGTAACAAACTGTCTGCCTTGGCTAGATTGTAAGTGAAGAGGGTCATCTACCTCTCCCCAACCCCTGAAGGGTTTGTTAGACCGAGTTGGTCTGACCCGCAAACATTCACTTGTTTGGAGTGAATGACTCTGTAGATACTTAGGAAGTGCCACCCAGCGTAGCTCAATGGGTCACGGAAGTACACAAACCGCACCACGTTAAGGTTCAGTCTCGTAACGATGGCTCTGCAAAGTTGTGTTGGTTGGAGTATACGAATATAACAGCTCTCTTCGGATCGGGCGCAGCTGTTGCGAAAATTTTGGTGACGCTGCGCGTTTTTACGTGCTTCGCACTTTCGAAGTGCATAGTACCGCTACCGGACTGGGCCGGTTCACCTTCAGCTCTTACATGGTCGAAAAATCGCTTGGATGGCCATAGTACCACTGGCCGTCATGTCACTGGAGGCTACCGCGAGTATATCCAGGACTCGTAAGGCTTTTCAAAGGTTACCACTTACTAAGAAAGTGCAGTTCAAGCATTTTTTGCCACGGTTTATAACGCCACGATGCGACCAGAGACGTAGCTGCTGCGGACTGAGTTTAAGAGACTGATCACGTTTGACCACCGATGCTTGCGGAGTATCGCTCACATCCAGTGGCAGAACCGAGTGGTATGCAAGTTCATCAGTTGATATTTAGCATTAGCGTTGGCGGTGCCCCAGTGAAGTGCTTGTTTGATTCCAATCGCCTGGTTCGGTCATGTGACTCGCATACCTACAAGTCGGTTACGACGGGGTACGTTGTTCTCCAATATTGCACACGGCCGTGAAGCGCCAACATGGTCAGGCGAAGACAAAGAGTTCTAACTATGAAAGGCGAAATTGATTTGAATCTTTTCCTCTTCACAGATGGTATCCTCGAGGTCGGCTGCATCAATGCTTGGAAGCCTCATCGAAGTGGCGTGATCACGGAATTAGTGGCGCTTCTGCACTCATCTTTTAATTTCAGGCCGTTAACCAGTTAACTTTACCAGGTTAGTTCTTGTTCAATTCCCTAATTACCACTGTTATTACTTGATGACTTGTGTCAAGTCAACTGGATTCACCACCCCGATGCGCGCATCAAGTTGACAAGATGAATTGAACGGAACTAAACAGAACACAAATGACCGACAAAAGGGCCAGAGTGAGTGCGGTATGTAAGGCTTATGCTAGCTGAGGCAAGATGATTAGAACACTCGTTTTGCTCGGGATGCGTAGTAAACCAAAAGACAACTATCTTCTATGCACGCATACGTTCGTATCCGCTCGCATCCGTCTTATCGCCGATGCTCGCTACCGTTCATGTATTTTGTAGCCCAAGCGCATAAACTCCTATTCGCCTTATAATATTGGCACTCCACTACGTGCCTACTTCTGGAGTGTTACTCACAAATCTTGTAGGTGCTACTTTTGCCCTCAGAGTATGGATGTCAACCGCACGCAAATCACCCAACATGGAAGCGGGTGCATAATTTGAAGCTCCGGTGACCAGAAATGAAAGTGAACCTCAAGAATGTGGCCAATGTGATTACATGTATGCCATCACTTGCTGAAACTCAGGCATAACACCAACATCAGAGTTAACTGCTTGAGACTGTGTGAACAATATTTTAGTCTGAAATTATTTTTCAGGTTTACCAACCCTGTAATTCTCCCAAACTCAATTGTTTCCTCCCCCAAATTAGATATTTTCAAAAACGATTCGATTTCGCCCTTGGCCCTCATCACTACATTGCCTAAACTGTGCTACTTTGGAACATGTAAATCGTGACTGCAAACCGGATTTGTGTCACATAAACCTGAGGTACACAGGTGTATATTTGTTTTTAATGTTCTCAGTACATCAGCTATAACTGTCCCAATAGGGCGAAACGCGTATGATGCTTCTCCGGGATGGGGGTTGTTCTATATAGCTCGTGAACTTCTGGGACGAAAAAAATTATCTGCTTGCGTTCAATTCTCATTTGACACCACTGTTATTCAGCAGCGTATTTGCTCGATCGACACTTAAATACACAATTCACATAACTTTTGATATTGTAGTTTCACCCCTGTCATCCTACGGTACTTGTCAAGCAATTGTTTCTTTACCCGTGATAAATCGTTGTGCGAGTGTTAGAGAATAGCGACCCTCCTGGAAGATTCCGTTAAAACGTCTTACACTTGAAAACACAAGAGAATTTCACGACTTTTGAACTCTGGGTTGAGTCCAGAAAGTGTGAGCAATTAAATGATGTTAAAAGCGACATGAATTTCAGAAGAAATGTCCGTGTGATTGCTAATCGCAATCTGCTGCTACTTTTGCATCTTCCAGCAAGTGTATGAGTGGTATATTTCTCGACGGTGCAAGATACGGTTCGACTAGTTGGTCTGATCATTCGGTACAAGAGGATCGCAACGGATAGATATTTATCCAAGCTTTCTGTAGCAGTTCAGGGTGTTTGACCAGTTAATTATGTTGGAAAGACGGAGAAGTTGGGAGTAGAATGAGGTTAATTATTGCGAAAAGGTTAAAAGTGATCCGGTTATCCGTGGAACCGTATCCGAGTGGCGTGCTTTCATGCGGGGTAGTCCACGGAAAGTTTTCACCCACATTTCCATGCCCCAAGTGCCGGTGTGGCGTAACAGCAAGCAAGCCATCACCGTATTACCTCATCTTTAGCGCCTTTGGTATGTATGGACAGAAATAGGCTTTCAACGATAAACGGTCAATCTTTTTTTACTCCTTTAAACCATTCAGTCCGTTTCGACATCCGACTTATTTGAGTCCGGCACTTTTGTTACACGCCTGCAGATTTGTGTAATATGTCCCGATTGTTTACGCACCTTTCATGATCGTTAAAATCGGAAGAGGAAAATGTAATAGTGGGTATGCATTTGTAGATATATACCGGAATCTTTGTACAGCCTCATCAAATTTTGGGACGAAATGAAATGAAGCCACCGATCTCAAACACCATATTTACATTAGCAAAGAACGTGTTTATGTTCTTTTTGGTGAATGTACATAAAAACAAGAGCTTTGTACACTGAGAGAGCAAGTCTGTTGTTTGGAAAAGGAGGTGGATGGATGAGTGACCGTTGCGGGAGCTCAAACGGTCACCTTTCGATTTAGATCACGAACCGTGGCCAGCAAAGGTTGTAGGTCTCGTGTATAATCGAAAGACTGAGGCAAATCTAGTTGTGGTAATAGCTGTTTTAGCAGGGCAACGATCTGACCACGCAAAACAGAGACACAGTGATTTGGATCTGGACAAAGCGATACGATAGGGATGGACAAATCTGGCTGTGTGTCTTGGCTCGCACCGCTCACTGAACCGAAGATGTCCATTGTAAGAGCAGAAGTGAGACGCGACAGAATCCTGTCTGTACTTGGAGACTGTAAATCAACGCGTGTCCTTAGGTCGCACTGGGGTGATAGATCGGATAGTAGCTCAACGATAAGCTTACGTAACTGAACAGCTTCTTCATGAGCAGTCAAGTGTTGCCAAATGAGAACCTGTTCGTCATAGGCTTGGCAAGCGACAAGCCAATTGTTCAACAACTGCGCCAGTTGGCTCAAGGCAGTCGAAGCCAAAGCAGTTAGCTGATGGACATAATCTGGCTCAACGAACAGGGGAGGTAAATCGAATGGTAATGAATCAGATGCGGGTACAGTGACTGGATAGGAAACTTCAAGGCCGTCCACGAAATCAAACACATACAAATCACTGTCACCTTTGTCGGACAGAGTGCCACAGTATCCCAGCTGGTAAGTCTCATGAATGGATATAGTGTACGAATCTTCGCAAGTCTCAGAGCCGTTGAATAAACGCTCGTGTGCGTTCACATCAAGAGAATTAATACAAGAGCCATTGATATCGATCGCGCCTCTTTTCATCGCTTTCCCATCACTACTCAGTGGACAAACTCGGCTATTCTTTGAAAGTAGGATATTCTCATTCCGAATGGCGTCGGAATTGCGGCTGAAAACATCGGAATGATGGCGACGTGGGACATGAGGGGCGCTCAAAGCGTGATTTACTACACTGTTCTTTGGAACCTCGAACAGGTTGGAACAGGTTGAATATTCCGAGTCCTTAAGACGGCAAAACGAAGAGACGTGTCTATCCGTATCCATGGGTTCATTTCAGGAGATCTGAAAGCACAACAAATAGCGAATAGTTTACTGACAATAATAAGTGGTCCCAATAAGTGTCGGCAACTGCATGAAAAGACGGTGACCAGTGAAAACAAATAGCAGATGAGGGGTATTGCCTTGAAATTCTTAGAGGAAAGCCTAGAGATAATCTGGCACCAAGAGTATTTAGTATAATCCAGTTTTGTAGGTAATATGAAATGGAAGATGAATAGCCATTGCATGAGAAATCCCTCAGATATGCGTGTTGATCTCGTGGCAGACACGTCGTCTGTTCTATAAATGGGCTAGCTACAGTGAATCATACTCACCAGCTCGATCGTGATCCGGTACTATAGATTCAGCGGTGACATTGCTGATTCATAGCCATGTAGGCGGAAAGAGAAATGACAGAGGGAAGATTATCTCAGCGCAAATCTGAATTTCCTAAGCAAATGTCCGGAATCAAGGAGGCAACACTCTAATTGATCGCTTTTGACACAAGCCTAATTAGGCTAGATAAATTGTTGGGTGATTGGTGTAGCATTTGCCACAAGTTGGGAGGACAATCACAAAAACCGATAGGCTAGAACGTGGGAAATCGCATTATAGCGTCTCCCACAGCAAAAATGTGTACGGGCATTTAGCAACATCATCATCAATACACGTTAGCTGAGGGTGAGGACCACTCTTCAGCTAATGTGCGGCAATACTAAAAAGTAAAATACTAAAAAGTTACCATACAAAAAATTCCAAAGCAAGTAATATGGCGTTAAATATCATATTATGCATTTCGTATGAGATCGGAATTGGAGGGGAAACTAAAAGAGAGGGGGATGGACAAAGGAACGCACAACACAAACGCCGTTGGGGCCGGCTCCTAGCCACATCGACAAGTACGCCCAACCAAATGTCTTCATCGTCTTTGCGACCCTAGCCACGCAATCAGGATGCACCAACCGGCACCATATTCGAAGTAAGGGTTTTCATTTCTCACGACCAAGTCATCGCTTGGCCTCATCTTCCAACCGCACCCCGGCGCGCAAACAATGCACATCGCTGGTATGCGCAACAGGTGGCCCAGCTATCGGAGCCTGATGCGTGATATAATGGTGCTGAACTGTTCACTCACTCTCTCTGCAACAAACATAATGCGTCAAACACGTTCATTATTCACGCGGTATTCCCGCCAGATGTGAGCTAGGCAGCGATAGTCAAACATAACTAGGCTCTATATCTGTCCATCGGATGGGCCAGGTTTTATGATGGTACACTAGAATCAAATGAACAGTTGCGTTGTAAAATATGCCATTCAGGATGGCTGTGATATCTCGCCGGCGCCACAGGTGGCAGGGAATGGCAAAAGTGCCTCGAAGTTTTGCTATACGGTTCCTGACCTCATCTTCCATTCTGCAGGCGATAATAAATCTGTTTAAGTACTTAAGTTTCTAAACGAAATCCGGCTGATAACCACCAGGGGTCCGCGCAGGAGTGGGTTTCTGCTAATCTTGGTGAAGAAATTTGCATTTCGAGGGTGCAAAGCATAAACTAAAATGAATGACAGCCAGTGCTAACTTGCCCAGTGTTGATTAGCATGTTCAGGAGCTTTCAAAGGTTAGGGCAACGCTGTCGTCATCAAATCAAAAAATATTTCCCCAAGAATCAGTTCCACATCTTGAAGGCTGTGTCTAATGAATGTCGTTTCCATGGTGAAGTTAAAGAGGAAAGGTGGCAGCGGGCAACCATGTCTCACACCGCTTGAGATATTAAAGTGTGGCAACAGTTTGCCATAAACCCTCCCCCTACCCGAAACACGTGCATACAGCGCCAGTATCATATCTATATATTCATCAAGCACACTTTTCTGAGGTGACAGTCCAAAAAGCTACATCGATTTACCAAATCGAAGGAACCTTTGATGCCGAAGAACACGACTATGGTGGATCGCCAATAAATAAGCGATGTTCCAACAGCTAACGTGAAATGGAGATGTGGTCAATGCAGCCTCGATTGCGGCAAAACCCGGTTTGCTCCTCACGAACCTGGCTTTCACGAGTGTCAGCAAGTCTATGAAGAACGATAGAGACAACTTAGTCAATTGAGATCAGACTGATTTCTCTATAAATGCAGCATTCGGTACGTGAATCTCCCTTGAAAATTTGGACTATAACAGAGTGGCTCCAATCTACTGGGACAGTCTCTTGCTTACACAGCTTCACATGCATGTTGTGCAAATCATCCACAGGAGCAGATCCACCGAATTTGAAAAAAGCTGGAGGTCTATCTGCTTCTGCAGCCTTGTTCAATCTCATCAGTCTGATCTCACATTAGACTTCAGCGTCTGAGCGCAGAGTAAAGAGCATGGCTAAATATGTAGGACAATTAATACCGAAAAGGAAAATAATTCAGGTTGATTAAATAGCTTTAGAAAATGTTCGGCCCAACGCTCCAAGCGCTTTAGCAAGCTGTGGATTAGCTGTCTACTATCGTATCGTATGATCTCGCACGATAAGACCACCAGGATATGCGGTCTCTTTTCAGGCTAGCACGCAGTTTCGCCCTGAGATCTTTGCGAGTCTCATTGTGTTCGCTTCCATCGAAGAAGTCAGCGAGCATCCATAGGGACCCAATATCCAGATTGGCAATTTGATTTGCCACATGACCTGTCTACTGATGGTAACGTCTGGGGAATGTGCGAGCAGTAATCTCAGCCCGGATACATATTCACATCTGGCTTCGCCAGATGGCTGGTGTCTGTACGCTCGAGTCCCGTTGCAGTCGTCCGCCGAAGTGCACTCGTAGGTTGGCACATACGGGAGCATTATCGGAGTCCACGCTCGTGCTCCAAATCGTCTGACAGTTTGAGACGCAGCCTCTCCATCGGTAACTGATCGCGATGTGATCGAGTTGCGAGGTTGGTGGGCGCCAAGTCACTCTTCTGCGGGTGCGGTGTCGAAAGTTAGTGTTCGCGAGAGACGAGCATCTTCATACAAGTGTAGCAACCGTACGCCATTATCGATACGAAAATCTGCACCGTGTTGGCTGCCAAGATGAGGTTCATCAGTGGACAGTATTCCAACTTGGGTGTTCAGATTATCAGCAAGTACCACAGTATCAGTACACTTCTTGTAGCGAAGGAGCTCGCTCAATTGGTGATAGAAATCATTTCACCGAATCAACGCTAAAGTTTGCGGGAGCGTATGCAGCAATGACAGACAGGTATTGTTGATCCCCGAGTGACTTCGGTGTGTTGAAAAGCCAGCCACTCTCACGGCGCACATCCCGCATCTCAATAGGATCCAATCGATCAGGGCAGCTTCCGCGTGTGAACTCAAAACAATGCCCACACCGGCTTGACCGGAATCTGAAGTTGCGTCATCCTCGTACAAACGCAATGACAAAATGCCGCCATTGTTGCATGCAGAAGATCGCAGAGTGAGCACAGAGCTAGAATCTTGCATATGGATTTGTGATAAACTATATATATATATATATATATATATATATATATATATATATATATATATATATATATATATATATATATATATATATATCAGTAGACGAACAGACAAAAAGCCATCAAAGGAAGGCACATCGGTGATTAAAAGAAAACCGAATACAACAAAGATAAATCCATGGTTTCGTCAGCGGGCGAGATACTACCCGGTTTCCCAAGCCGAAGTAGGGTGTTGACTTAGGGAACACCACCCCGAGCCTTGGGCTAAATAGCCTACTTGCAAGGTAGCGGGGCGAATTCAGGGAATCGCATGAACCGGCGGCTTAGGAAGCGGATTTACCTTAATCATTTTTTAGCGCTTGCATATTTCATCTCTGCAACTGTACTTTCTTATTCGCATCATTATCGTATAGCAAGTTTTAATTAACACTTTCATCAAAGCTCACTCCGCGCTCTCAATTCGGTTCGCTGCGCGTGTTTTAGTCGTGCATTTTCGAGGCTTTTGCTCGGTGTCTGGTAACCGGAATCGTCGCTAACTTGAATCGAGTTTCTTTTTGAGGCATGCGGCTAGCTTCAGACCCCTGGAAGACTTAGAATTAACCGAACTACGGAATGACTCTTCGTGGCCTACTGGGCTACTCATTAGCCTTTCTGTGTAGTCTTTTCCTTACAATCATCATAGGTGGCATGCCCTGTCAATAAGTTATATCAGCTGGGAATGAGGAGGGGTTAGCTATGGTTTGGGCTCAACTACGCTTCGGACTTTTCCCCCTGTACGGCTGCGTTCCTGTTAACGGAGATTGGAGCTGCGCCGTCGCTAATAACTGCTGCATACGTTTTGGGTTTAAGATCATTAAAATTACCGGAAGGCGCCAGTGGCTCCTAAAGCGATGCAGATAAGACATGGCTCTGCTTGACAGCAGAAGTGATCTACTGAATGTAAACTTCACTAGGTGTCAGTGTCTCCGACTTTGAATCAGAAGAGTCTCGACTAAGACTAATGTTCGCAGTCGTCGAACTGAACACGGCAAGTGGCGGGAGAGGGTCAGACTTTGTTTCCCATGTATGGGCAACAGGGCTTAGGAGATTGAACAGATCCCGAGAATCTTATCCATCTCACTGAATGGTAGAGAGCAAAAGAAAAGTTCTTTGTCAGCTCCGTCGCTTCCCAGTCATTGCTAGTCTTTGCGTAAATAGGGTTCCACAATGAACCTTAGTTGTGTTGTGAAGCAATATCCAGACACACTTAGCAACAGTTTCTTGAAATATTCCACAAACTGTGCATCAACGACGAGCTCCGGATGGCGGTTCCTGTCATTAACCACGCGAGTGGATAGAGCTAAATCTGATCGCACATAGACTTTCCTCGACTTGAACATTTTCCATCGGCGACCACGTATCGAACTCTCGATGTTTAGATGAAAGAACTGCTGTAACTCGCTTCCCAGCTCTTCTCTTAGGATACGTCGAGTGTAAGGCAAATCGCCGCGTCGACGACGATAGTCCAGAAAGAAGACAGAGGATAGCGAATTCCCGTGCGTTGTGTCCAAAGATCTTTTTCT